GAGATGCTCCTACTGCTCCTCAAGGAACTCACGGTGAGCTGATTGCTGCTGTTGCTGCTGCTGCAGTTGTCGCTGTTGCGGCTGCGGCTGTAGTGATGAATTTCGTTTTTGGTTGACTAGCAGCCGCAGGAACAGCAGCAACAGGAACGGCAGTAACGGCGGCGAGAGAGCTGCCCCGTACGCCCGTAGTGCAGATGGCTTGTGCTCCTTTTCGCGTGTTAAGTGCATGCAACCAGCTGCTGCTGCTGCTGCTGCTGCTGCTACAGGGAAGACTATCTGCAGCTGATTCTGGCTCGCTTGATTCCTCGAGACTTGAAGATCTCCTCCGTCGGGTGGGGGCGCTCAAGGGCGTTGCATATAATGTCTTAGCCTTGGCCTCGCAGCGGCTGCTGAAGCAGCTGCTGCTGCCTTCTGTGGCTGCCCGTGTTGATGCACTCCGCGCCCAGCTGCAACAACTGCAGCAGCAGCAGCAACAACAGCAGCAGCAGGTTCTGCGCGATGAGCTGCTGCAGCTGCCAGAGGAACTCGGGGGATATGGCCTCCTCGCCAATCTCTTTAAGGACCCGCAGGTGGGGTCTGTGGCGCAGGAGATGATGCTGCGGAGACAGCTATTAGGGCTAGACATCCAGCTGCAGCAGCAGCAGCAGGGGTCACTCCCGTTCACATGGAAAAGAGCGCTTGAGGAGGGCCCTGCAGCAACAGAGAATGCAGGGATATTTGCTGCTGTCTCCAGCATAGAGGAGCTGCAGCAGCAGATGGGGCCGCTGCTGCAGCAGCTAGCACAGCAGCAGAAAGCACTCAAACAAGAAGCTAAAGGCGTGCTGATGCTGAGTCTTCCCCTTTCCAATGCAAAGCCAGGTGCTACAGCATCGGATGCAGCGGCTGTCGAGGCAGTAGCAGCAGCAGCAGCAGCTGCTGCTGCTGCTGCTGCTTCTACCTCCCCGGAGGCTGCTGCTGCACTTAAGAAGCTCCACAGCCTCCGCTTGGTGTTGCCGACGGCCAACGGAGACGCGCAGCAAGTATCACTTGTGCTGCAACAGGAGCAGCAGCAGCAGCACCACCAGGAGCAGCTGCAGCTAAAGGAGGACCCGGTGCAGCGGTAAGCTATGCAGCTGTTTTCTTGCGGTGTACATACACCGAACATATTGCTTTCCCTGCTGCAGACACGCAGCAATCATCTCGCCTCACTTGCCGCAGCACTGCTAACCGCTCAACGGCAGCCGCAGGAGCAGAAGAAGCAGCAGCAGCAGCAGCAAGAGGGAGAGCTCTGTTTTGTTGTGTGTGTGGGGGGGGATTTTGTCTGCTGCAGCGGGTTGTCCCTGTCTCAGTTTATATTTGGTGAGATCGAGACGATGCGCAGCATGGGTACGGTGCGG